CTAGTACTAGTACTAGTACTAGTACTAGTACTAGTGCAGACAAGAGCAAAGCGCACATAGACGTCACCGATGTGCGTTTTGGATTGGTCCAAATCTGGCCAATCCAAAACGCACATCGGTGACGTCTATGTGCGTTTTGCTCTTGTCTGCAAAGAGACAAGAACTGCTTTGGTATGGTTTGGTTTTGAAGTGTCCAAATCTGGAGTAGTACTAGTACTAGTACTAGTACTAGTAGTACCTACTAGTAGTAGTAGTAGTAGTAGTAGTAGTAGTAGTAGTAGTAGTAGTAGTAGTAGTAGTAGTAGTACTAGTACTAGTACTAGTAGGAATTGTGTGCACTTCTTCTGCAGCATTTTGCAGCAGACGTCTGTGGGGGTGCAGTGCTATAGCTATCTACTCCGCGATCCCTTGCGACCCATGGCAGATCAGAAAGCTCATGAGCTGGCGGAGAGTGAAAAGGTCGAGAAGATCATATGCGAGCTGGCAGAGGTGACAAACTTGGCTTATCAAGATGTCCGAGGTCGAGTGAAGATTATTGGCCAGCAGAAGATGTGTGTGCACTGTGCCCGAATTTATCTCATCGACTATTTAGCAACACCGGACAGGTGCAAGTATGACCGTTTGTATAGAGCAGATTACGGCTGTCTCTGCGAGTTGTACTATTAGCAGCCCAGACGACTCAAGCCAGAAATTCGTGCAAGAAATGTCTATCTTTGTGTATCTCAGGGCTCTGGTTTAGGTTGGAGTTTCATTGGCTCAGGGGGTTGCGAGTAGGGAGGGCCATGGAAGAGTAATCCTTTGAGTCCTAAAACTCCAAGCTTCCAAAGGCTAAACCCCAAGCCCTACCCCATTGGCCCTTGAATATACGTCCTAAAACTAAACCACAAGCCCTACCACTATAGCTGCTGTATACGTATACTATTGCCCCTTCATGACCCTATACCCTAAAGGCTAGCCGTTACGTCATCAGGTTGGGAAAACGCGCCGTACGAGGCTTAGGAAGGCCCCATAATGCCCGGAACCCTGAACCCTGGGCCTACAGGCTGGTCAGCACTTGGGAAAATGCGTGTAAAAGGCTCTCTAAAGGCTTGGGGGAGGGCCCAAAACGCCGGGAGCGGGGCCAGCGGGGCTCTCTAGGAACCGTAGGAATGTAGGTGGGAACCGTAGGAACATAGGTGGGAACCGTAGGAACCTAGGTGGGAACCGTAGGAAGTGTCCTGGGAACCGTAGGACCCTAAACCCGCCCAAACGCACAAATTGCAGGATATGGGAAAGCGTGGCAACGGCGTGAACTGTGTGGAGGGTGGAGGTGATGCAGCCGCCAAAGCACAGGAGATCATTGCGAAAGCCAAAGCACGAGCCAATCTAGCCAGGACTGTGAGTCGAACGTCGATTCCCAGCCCTGCCGGAGCAGGGCAACCCACCCCGAAGAAGCCAGAGGCAGCGCCAGCAGCAGTGCCATCCACCCCGAAGAAGCCGAAGGCAGCAGTAGAAGTGCAATCCACCCCGAAGAAGCCGGACGCAGCAGTAGTGCAACCCACACCGAAGAAGCCGGGTGCAGCAACAGTGCAATCCACACCGAAGGAGTCAGTTGCAGCAGCAAATAGCGCTACTAGCACGGCAGCCCCAAGTATCTCCACAAAGATCTCGCAAGCTGGACAAACCCCTTCGTCGGTCAAGTCGTGACTTGGTTATATGGCGAAGTTAGAATAAGCCCGCAACTAAACCCTAAAGCCTAAACCCCTTCACCCTATCAGATGACTAGGCCTATAGCTAGGCAGGATCCAGAAGCCTCAGCCCTATCTCTACGCCCAAACCACACACCCAACCCCTAACCCTAAGCAATAACCCTAGGCCTATATTATTATATAATATCCCAAACTCCAAACCCTATCTCGAAAATCATATAGGCACCACCCCAAACCCGGACCCTTATCCTAGATACCCATGCCATACCCATGCCGGCTAGACCAAGCTACCCTTATAAGGACACCCATCAAGAGCCCTGACTTGAAGAAGATCCGGGTCGTCGGCAAGCAGCCGGCCGATGTGGCAAAGAGGAACCTTGCCGAAATTTGTGACTTGATATCTGCTAATCCGAGTCTCAAGCTCCGTTATTCTCGAAACATGTACCATCTTCAAACTGCTACGCACTGCTTCTTGCTGTAGTCCGATTGGGGGGAGGCAATGATTGAACCACAATGATATAATCGATAGAGTAGACCTCTACTTTACCAAAGCCGCTGGAACTCGCTTGCTCTCGATTTCTCTCTCTATCTCTTTCTATCCCTCTGTCTGTCGCTCTACCTCTCACTTCGTCTCTACACATAGACACGTATGCAGGCATATGCTGGGGTCTTCAAGTGATATCCGGATACCATGTGGCCACCTCGCACAGGCCGTCGACCAACGAGGCAAGTACGGGCGGTACAGAGGATTATGTGAGCCAGGATGTGGCCATGGCAGGGACCCCTGTGCCTGTGAGACGAGGCTTCCTGAATTATTGCTTTTAGGGGCTTAAGGGTTTAGGGGTGATCTGTAGGAGTGTCTGCACAGGTATTTGTACATGTGTTCTACCTATCTATATATATATATATATATAATATTATATGTATATGTCATGTATGTCATATATACATATACATGTTATATATATATATATATATACACATACATATATATATATATATATATATATATATATATATATAGTATACCAAGATATAGGCCGGTGTGTGTGTATATATATAATATAAATTATATAATTATATACATACCCATGTATGCATAGCATACACGTATGTGTATGTATGCATATGTATGTATATATATATATATATATATATATATTATATATATATATACGTGCCTATTACTATTGTTATTATATTATTAATATTAAACATATGTATATGTATGTGTGTGTGTGTATGTGCAGGTATGTGTATACATACATATGGTATGTGTGCATGAACACATACCATGCACGCACACGAACACAGTGATTAAGTAGCCGGCAAGGCTGGAGCTACGCAGACACTGGGTCGCAGCCGCCACCAACCCCCACACCGTCCAGCATTGTTGCGACCCCAGTGAGGCCACGAAATTTGCTTCGCGAAAGCCCAATGAAGTCACCGAAACCCGCGAGCCCCATGTCTGTGGAGAAGCCTTGGCCAGCACATGACGAGCCGTACACATGGCATGCAGGCTGGTGGGGATGGACTCCCCAGTCTTGGAGCAGTGCTGGCTGGGGCTGGGACAATTATGGATGGGACAGCGAAAGCAAATGGACTTGGGGTCGCAGAGACACCTGGGAACGTGAGTCAACCACCACTGCGGCCTCCACCCCTTCTCCTGCCAGTGAGCCTTCACCCAGCCATCCCCCCACCCAGCAGCAAAGCCAGGAGGTGAAGCAAGCACTCAATCGGGGACTGACGACCGTCTCAGAGCAGGAGCTGACGCAGCAAGAAGCGGAGGAGTTTATCAGGGAGCTGGAGACGCAGGTTGATGGCTTGGATCTTTCCGAGAAAGAAGCGCAGACATTGAGCAAACTGCGGCCACTCGACACCCAGAGCACCATGCAGTTGGACACACAGGATATGAATGATGTAGCTGCCGCAACACAGCAAGAGGTGCAGCAGAACCCGACACCCGAGACAAAGCCGCAGCAGCCCACCACGAAGGAGGCACAGCCACAGCAGACCACCAAGGAGGCATCGCAAGACACACAGCTGCAACAGACCACCAGCGACCCAGCTGCACAGCAGGAAAAGATCCCATCAGCACAGACGCACCCACAGGGCACAAAGCAGCAGCAGCCACCCAGCAAGGAGCAGGCCGATGCACAGGAACAGAAGCCGCCAGAGGAGGCGAAGCCACAGCAGGCCACCAACGAGGCAACGCAACAGGAGACACCGAAGCCGCCACCGAGTCAGGAGCAAGGAAAGGGGGACAGCGGTATCATCGATCAGGCGCAGCAGGGCCCGGTGGATGATACGTGGCGGAAAAATAAACATGGACAGATCCTTACCCCGGCTGCCTTGTACAGCCGATTCTACAGAAGCGCCAGAAGCCCCAGCCCCAGCTGGATCGCAAATTCTAACCATTTCGTGCAACCGACGATGCATGTACATGTGCACATGAGCATATATATCATGTCCAGCACACATATACATATATACATATGTACATACCGAGCTCGAGGTTCCAATGCCCCTCCGGAGGTCCAGCAAAAGCTTGCCGACGCCGAGCACAGCCACTTAAATGCTACATCACTGGGGAGTCGTACTAGTTAGTATACTAGTAGTACTAGTACTACTGTTGATGATAGAAATCCTGCATAACCCATAGTAAGGCTAGGAATCTACCATAATTCCCATAGTTTAGGGTCCTTCAGATAATGCAGGATTTATATCATCAACCGTAGTACTAGTAGTACTAGTGCTACTTGCTAAATTATATTACTGTGCATGGTGGGTGTGTGTGTGTGTGTGTGTGTGTTTCACAATTATACAGCAATATCTTCGACTACAGGTGCGAACCGGACGCACAAAATGCATGAGCTCTACGTTCACTATCTGAGCTGCCGGGCCGATTGGAAGTCCAGTGTGATCGTGGTGACGATGAGGACACACATCAACCTGCATCAAGAGCTATAGTCATTAAATTATTCATATAATAAGATGGTGGGGTTTCAAGCAGGCCCGAAGGTATCTCCCAATTGAGGGGCAGCTAGCTTCCGTCGCAAAAACCTGGTCTTTAAGGCTAGAAGAAGCAAAACCCTTAACTCCATGGGATTCAAACCTACAGCTAAACCCCGCAGTCTGAGCCCAATGTTCTCAAAACCCCGTATATATACTTCAAAAAAACGGAGCCCGATCCCAATCCGCTTCATCTCGATGCAGGAAGGAGACCAAGCGCAAGTCCAAACTGGTCTATCTGTGGAAGTCCTATCGGGTGCTAAAAGCAGAGCTCGGGGAGGAGCTAGCGAAAGACCTAGCCACCCGACACATGGCCAGTGATCCGAAGATGTCGGGCAAGTTCGTCCGCCCGTATCTCAATTGCAATAATGTGTTTCAATACTATCGCGAGCTCCTTCAGATTATATGTGCAAGCTAAGTCACCCGGACTTCCCCCTCTCCGAGGACCATGGGGGACAGTACGTACGACTGCCTCACTAAAACACTGTGCCTCCACCGACCCTGCTAAATTCCTGATGACAGCCTCCGATCCAGGAAATGCGGCTTTACAAGTCGTTCCAGGAGATCAGAGACGAGGAACAGAAGAATTTCGCACATTCGGCTGAGTTCCAGCTCACGGCAGAAGGGGATGAGGATGAGATCATGCAGGGTATGTCTACGGCTTACTTTATTATGTATTTATATAATAATGTTATAGTTGTACATTAATCTTCGAGTGTCCTCCCTGATTATACTGAGGGATGATGCGATGGCGGCGGAGGATGACCCGCAGCCTCTGCAGAACGGGAAGCCGAAGGAGGTGAAGGAGAAGAAGGAGAAAAAGGAAAAAACGTGGCGAGCCTTGGCTGCCGAGGCCAGACATGGGCATGGCTTCGAAACCCTGCTCTAATCGTTGAGCCTGCAGGTTTTTCAGCCCTTTGATCCTTAACGTGTCAGGGATGATAGAGTCTGGGGCTAAGGTGTGGGGGTTAGGGCTTCGTTCGACTAGCAAGATTGAATTATATCGGGTTTACAGCCTAGGTTTCAATGGGGATAGGTTCCAAGCCATTGGCTATATGGCTTTTGGGCTACAGGGATTCTAATCTTGGCCTTGGATGCTTGGCTACTGAAATTGTGCTACATTCGTGGTTGGGGCTTATGGGTTTGGCAGTTTGCAAACTGGCTCTTGGCTTCAAGGGTCGGGTGTCTGGTCGGGGTGCTTAGGGCATGGGTTTGAGATTCATGGTTTGTGGTATGGGCATCCAGATACGGCTACTAGCTGCCGTCGCTACTGTGCTAGCAGCTCTGGTACTACTGGCAGTAGCAGGACGTACTTGATACTGGTATTGCTACTAGCACGTACAGTGGTGGCACGGGTAGTTTTCAGTGGGGGTATCAGTCCCCTATGGTTTATAAGTATATAGTTACCCTACGTCTCACCCGCTACTTATAAGCACCCATGAACCTCCAAGTAGAAGCAGTAGTAGTAGTAGTAGTAGTACTACGGTTGATGATGTAAATCCTGCATTACCCATACATAATAAGGAAAAAACCATAGTTCCCATAGTTTAGCTAGGGTCCTTAAGCTAATGCAGGATTTATATCATCAACAGTAGTAGTAGTAGTAGTAGCAGTAGTGGTAGCAGTAGTAGTAGTAGCAGCAGTAGTAGTAGTAGTAGTAGTAGTAGTAGTAGTAGTAGTAACTAGTAGTAGTAGTAGTAGTAGTAGTAGTAGTAGTAGTAGTAGTAGTAGTAGTAGTAGTAGTAGTAGTAGTAGGAGTAGTAGTAGTACTGGTATTCGCAGGAGTATTAGTAGTAGTACTAAGTACTAGTACTACTAGTACTAGTACCAGCACTAGTGCAACTCCCGAAGAAGCCCAAAAACCCGCCAAAACCCTCTTTGCATCCAGGCCTCCTGTGCTGTTGCCGGGTTACCCGCCAAAACCCTAAACCCCCAAACCCCTCAAAACCCTAATTGTGCGGACCCCTTGACCCTTAAAGCGCTGAACCCCTGAACCCTGAAAACCCTTACCCTCTGAGCCTTAGAGCTCAAAACCTGTCCATTGTTTTTTGCAGAGATGTGTTTAAAACACTAGCAGGCCGACAAGAAGGCGAATGCCGACATCGTGGAAAGTGAGGGCTTCGAGGATACCCTCACGGCTGCCGGAGTGCACCCTGGATTTCAAGATCTAGCCAATTTAGCAAGTTGGTCTGAATCCTTGGGTTTATTAATTATATATTTAGAATATCAAATTATATATTATAATATTATTAATATAAATAAATATATATATATATATATATATAATATTAATAAACCCAAGGATTCAGACCAACTTGCTACGTGATGGTTTCAATCGTATTGGTTCTTGGTGCACCCGATTGGCTGGAGACTAAAGGCTGTTTAAAGTTTGCGAGTCGCCACACTCTCCCCAAGCCCAGCTGCATGTATCTGCCCATGCACCTTCTTGTGATATTCCCAGTCTCTGATTTAAAAACCAAAACATCCCTGAAACCCTGAAGCCCTACATGTTGTCGCCAGGGCCCCAAAGATGAAGCGAGCAATCTTGGACGACGTGGAGTCGCTGAAGGGGTCTCTGATGGAGAAGAAGGCGTTGGTGGCCTCCGCATTGGGCAAAAAATACGACGAAGCGAGGCTGAAGCCTTTGGTGGAGGATGCTCCTGCTGAAATAGTAAACACGAGCTAGCTTATAGTTTCTTTGACCGTCTCCGTCATTCAACTCCAAGACCTAGGACCTGCAAGAGCTACTGAAGAAATTCAAAGCTTGTGCCGAGCCGGTGAAAGCTGCTGAACGCAAGACGACGAGCCAGAGCAAGCCCAAAGCCAAAGCAAAAGGCAGATCGAAGAAGAAGGACTAGAAACTGGCCAGCTGGGGAACGTGTTCACACACTCGTGGAGTATCCAGTAAGGGATCGACCATGGAGTGGTGATGATTTTGATTTACCCTACCTATCTATGTGTGCTGTGTGCGAGTATCCTCTGCACTTGCATAGCGAGCATGGTAGCCATGTGCATCGTCATGGAGGAGTGCATACCTAGCAAGTCAGCAGTACTTACCGATCATGCATGTACAGAATCAAAGCTCGCGGAATGGCTATCAAGCTGGGGCAAGCTGCAAAGCGGGACCTGGTACGCACACCAGCTCTAGCAATTTGTTCGCAAACATCATGAGACCCCGGGCCTTAGGATCGCGGGTGCAGTGTCGGATGGACGGTGCACCTGAGTACCGGTCTTCTGGGACATGTGCATTGGAAAAAAGCCTCTTTAATTTTGCCGTTGAATCTGATCCTATAGAGCCGACTAGATCATGCTTGAAAGCTTGCACGGTCGTGTCACTCTTTCCACCCCACAACCCCACGCAGGGAAACGGCAAGATGATGCTGACGACGATGCAGTTGGCGAAGATGTGTCACTTGCTGCTCGAATGTCGGGGACCCAATACTTGGGGTTTGATACCGTAACATAGTGCCGGATGCTGGGCACATGAGGTTCAGATCTATGGGCGAGGGCAAGGAAAGTGCCAAAGATGTTTTACTCAATGCAGAAGCTGCTGTGAAGGACACTTATGCTAGAATCAACCGCTGAACCCTAGCGCCCTAAACCCCTAGTAGTCCCAGTACCCGTCGACAATTCCAAAACCCCGACAGGAAGCTGGATCGAGTAATGTCAGTAATGTGACGAGACAACTGGCTGCTCTACGTACACGTTCCAAGCGCCTGGAGCATGCTGATAGAGACCTGTTTCGTTTTGTGCGGTTGCCTATAGAGACTCGACAGCACTTCCAGAGCAAATACTCAGTCATTCCATACAATGCAAGCCTGCAAGTTAGCAAGTCAATCATGACGAGGATTTCGCCTGGATCACGGTGCCACTACTGGATCCAGAAGACCCGACATCTGACCGACGGATTCATACAAAGCTTCCATTCATCGATCCCCACGAGTACATCGAATACCTGTGGCGAACTGAGAGAGTGAGGATATCTGATGACGAGATCAGGCTGCAAAGCTGCATTGCAGAACGGGGCATGCGCAGTGGATTATCTGGATCTAACTATATAAAAAAATTAACCAAGGAGATATTGGGAACACTTCAGAAGCAGATCTATCGATTGGGCCCAGAAGCATCCAGCTCCATCGACGGCCGTCCCGATATCCGTCCCTGGCTGTATTATTATCTAGCGGTGTAATAATTTCTTCGGGGTATGGTCTACTGTACGTTCCGGGGAGCACACACTAAAGATTCTGAAATAATTCCATATGCCCGTCTGCTCCCATGTGCTAAGGTGTATGGAGACGAAGCAAATTTCAGTAAACAAGGCGATGCTTTCACTGCCCTGATGTTTACATTCACTTTACATCGGCCCAAAGGCCCGTGTCGAGACTGAAATCAACCCGACCCTTACCCTCGCCTATACTGCTCCTAAACCCCTAAACCTGGCACTCCGAAACCACACCCTGAACACCTAAACCCCCCAACCTGCAACCTGAGAGCTTCAAACCTGAGCCGACCTTGCAGGCAACCCCTGGAGCAAAAACTTCGTGTACTTCATCCTCAACTCCTTTCTCAGTGCGGGTGAGGAGATGTAGCATGCATCGACTTTACTATGCGAGGGTTCCAAATGTATGGGGGTGTTGTCTGGGTGTGCGACTCTTAAGAGTACTATAGCAAGTTGCATTGCTTCTTTAAGCTTTGAAAATAATTATATATAATTTATATATATATATATATACTTTCAAAGCTTAAAGAAGCAATGCAACTTGCTTTATATAATTCTAACAACCCTAGATTCGTACCCCAAATCCCGAAATTCCAGAGCCCTGAAAGGAATCTTTGAGGCCAGCCTACCACAGAGCTGCGTGGTCACTCACGGCAGCTTTCCACGGCAGGCGTCCACATCACGGTCCAGGCGGCACCTCGGATGAGCTGACTCGTCAGGAGCGAGAGAAGGTGAAAGCTCGACCGGAATTGAGTCGTCAGTATGCTGTCGTCGAATTCCGGGGGGATTGGAAGTACCAGCTGGAGACTTGGGGCTTCCGGCGGCACTGGAAAGCACTTCGGATATGTCCGAAGTGTGATGCGGCTAAACGGGACACCCATGGAACAGTGTACACGAATTTCGGTCGAGCATGGTGCAGGCGATCCAACATCGAAATTATTACAGAAGGCATGCCGCCGATTTTGCATCCGTTTGTTCTCGTACCAGGTTACCACGTTGATCTGGTGAATCTAGACTGCATTCTTCTCCAGACATTGCAATTGCATGCTTTTGTGTAGTGCCATTTTACCACCTAATAATAAGTTATATAGTTAATTAAAATTTCTTGCCCTGATCCAGGAGACCGTGCACAATGCACGCATTGAACTTGGGGGTGTTCCAGACCCTGGTCGCAGAGTGCATTCTCTACTTATGCGAAAACGACCTTTATCAAGGTGATGATATCGATGCAAGGCTGCAGAAGGCGTACAACAGCTTCAGAGATTGGTGCCATTCTCACAAAATCGGCTGCTCCCAACGCCGGTTTCGATCTGCGACCCTGCACTTGGCACCGGATGATTATCCGTACATTGGCGCCAAAGCGTTTAATTGCAGAGTCTTGTTGGGCTGGCTTGCTGATTTCTGGCTATGTCACTAATATAATTTATTTTGTGAAAGTATATAACTAATTATTTAATAAGCTAGCTATATAGCTTACAATATTATGCATGAATATTTAATTACTATTAATTTTTTCGTATAGCTATTCAGGATTGCATGACGTCCGATGCTACGCAGCAGATCCTATGTGCTCGGCGAGGTGCCGAAGACCAGGCATCCCACGACGAGCGGCGCGAGCTCACGATCCTCGTCACGAGCTGTGTGCTACATTGCTGCAAAGAGGTAGCTCCCGGAAATTGACGAAACCCTATCATCCGATCTCCTAAACCCCAGGACCCACGGCCCTATTAAGACCCTATACCTGCAACCTGGGCGGCCATAACGTGAAGGTATAACCCGAAAGGTAACGCACTGAGACCTATAGGTATGAGATAGCTGACTGGCAGCTACGGACGGAAAGCTTGGGCAGATACTTGGACCAATCCACTGCTGATTCTCTCTATGCTCAAGGCCTGCATCGGAGAGAAGGAGGGAGTAGGGAGAGAGAAAAAGAGAGAGACGAGAGAGAGGGGAGGAGAGAGACAGAGAGAGAGGAGAGGAGAAAGACAGAGAGAGCGAAAGACAGAACGAAAGAGAGAGACAGAGAGCGTCAAAGACAGAGAGCGAAATAGACAGAGAGAGAGAGAGAGAGAGAGAGAAAGAGAAGGAGAAAGAGAGAGAGAGAGAGAGAGTAAGAACGAGATTCCTGGATGATTTTGTGGACCGGAATGGGTGCTCCGTACTACACACGCCCTCAACCCAAAGCCCTGAAATCCTAAAGTTTTCTGTATAGCTGCAGGCATCAAATTTCTGAAGCTCTTCCGGGAGATTTCGCTGCGCTTTGCCAAAAAGCAGCAGCTTCGTTGGTTTGTGCGGCCAAAGCTTCACGAGACTCGGCTGAGGCTGCTTAAGCAGGGTCGTTGAGATGGGCTGTCAGCTGTCGTGTACCGAGGTCTATGAAGAAATGCTGATTGATCTGAGACACGAGTGACTCTCGCTCGCAAGAACATGTGATGCCATATAGATATTATTAGTTGAACCTCGAAGATGCATCGAGGTCAAAATCCCAGGTTCTTCCACACATTCAGTCAGGAGGATTCGATGGGGCTCTTGAAGCCCATCTGTATCAAAGCTAACTCCGGAAGTACTCGCTGGGAGTACCGGGTTCTGAAGCGGTGCATGCTCAGGACGTTGCCACTTCCAAAACAGCACCCTTAAGCTCTAGATCTGTACGACCCTAAACCTAAAATCCCTATAAATATATCCTGCATATCGAAACCCCTGAAGGATCCTCAGCGATGTGCCAGCCGAGATTCGGTCCCAGACGCGCAAGTGAAAATGTCGGCGACATGGGATCCGGAGACGGCGCTGGGGATTGTGTTGCACACCCCTAAGCCCTAAACCCTAAGCTACGTGGTGCACCTCGAAAGCCATAACGCGAAACCCGAAATTCCCTACAATCCCTATACACCCGCTGGATCTGCTAAGCATGCCACCCAAACCGAAATCCCATACAAAAGCTATTGAACCACAAGCGGGCTGGCCTCAATAGCTAATACTTTTTGTGCTTGTTGGGTCCTGCATGGACTTCTTAAACCCTTCGTCTCAACGTCAATACCTTCAAGCCTCATCAATGGATCGTGTGCGGGCTGAGTGTCGTGGCAGCACCGCCCTCTAGGACCCGACACTTAGAAACTAGTAGCCCTGTACCATAAACCTATAAGGTGCAAAATCCAAGCAATCGCACACACAAAGAAATGGGTTTTCTTCATAAGATTATTGGGGTGTTGGACATCATTCTGTTCACATAGCTGGGTGTTGACAATCTCATGCAAAACCCTATGGTTCCAACAATTTCTTGGTACCCAAAAGAATTGGAACTAAGGCTTGGTTCGCATAATTTTGGGAACCGTTGTCCAGTTACCTACCTCACGGGCCCCCGGGTCGGCTTGGGTTCGTTGAGTTCGAAAGTCTTTGTCAAGACTCAAACGTCAACAGGGTTAGCACTGCCAGGGGCGACCTTAAACTTCCCAAACCGCCCAAACCCTGACCTCCATTGCTCTGGGACTCGAAACCGCGGACCGTAAACTTCATGAAACCACAGTCCAAGTGTCAGGTTGCCGGAAGTTTCCCGAGAGCCTACAATGTCCGCCTGGCCACAGCCACCTGACCGCGCATCCATGACATCATTTCCAAAGGTTTCTGAGAATGCATCTTTCTTTGCTTCACACAAGAAGTCACCCAGCTGGCCCTGCCTAGGATGCAGCCGTGACTTCCAGAGTCCTGTCATTCAAGCCGGCTGCTTCTTTGTACCTATTTCTATGGATTGCTCGGCGGCTTCATAGGGATGCACAAGGTTCTGGGCTTGAAGGGTTCACGGAGGATCTGTTGAGGGACTTCTTAATAGTAACAGACATCATCGTAATACCCCCCTTTTGTAAGGATGCTAATTACTGCTAACAATAACGATGGCATTAACAATCAAACTCGTGAGCCCACGAGTCAGAAATCTCCTCGAATGCAATTGGCCTGTTTGGTCGATGCTTCGTTGACCCACACTTGTCGGCTCTGGTTCGATGGTGATTATGAAAGTGTAAGATAGGGGCCGATAGGGGCCTTAATAATTCGAATAGGGTTCTGGGGCCCAATATCCTATAATCATAATAAGGAGTAAGGAACCCCCAAAATAGTGTTGGTAATTATTTAGGCCCCCATATTAGGCACCCCTCTAAGTCCTTTAAGGTCCCAGTGCACCAAAGGGCTCTGAGCCTGCTCCAGAAAAACGCAAAAGCGAGAAGTGGGGATATCCGTAATTCATAGGACACCCTAATATAGGACCCGAAATACTTTGTCATGGTTGGGTAGCATTTTACATGTTTATGGGTACTTAAACCCAACAAGGAATGAAAATGTACATGCTTAATCCTATCCCAACCATGAGCTGGAATAGTAGGATCCTTATTATAGGGACCCCAAAATCAGGTACCCCTCATTTTCAGAAACTCCCAGTGAAGAACCGCGCAGCCGGAAGGCTCGCGAGCATCCCTTAAAGGGAACTCCAGAAAGTTGGAATATGGTTTCAGGGTAGGATACCCTATAATTTACCATAAAGGGTTTAGGATAATCATATTCCAACTTTCTGGCTTTTACTTTACACGAGCTCCTCCCGGACGTTGCGGAACTGGTCCTGGGGCTGCTCGTTTACCCTTAGGCTCTAAGGACTCACATTTTAGGGCCTTTGGGCCCGAAGACCGTACTACATAAGGCTTCTGGGCTGTCTCGAGCCTTAGGGTTAGGGTGAATTATTCTTGCTATCCACTGCAGCCGTCACTTCGGCGAGTATGTTCCGAGTCGGGAAAGCCTCCGTTGAGAACTTACATGAACTGGAATCTGGGGGGTTCGGTCTGGCGTCCCAGATTGATTCGGTCGGGAGGCTGTGACGCAGCGTAGGTTTGGCCGATATGGCATCTTCTGCCGAGGGTGTCTTATCAGAGTTTGGAAGTGCCTGAGGGTCTGACTGTGGATGAGATCCAAGACCGAGGGCTTCAGCTTTCGACTGTCTTGAAGCTCAGAGGCTGCGCTTTTCGACTCTGGGTACTCCGGCCCTAGCACCCGGAACGGAGGCATTAGCATCAGAAATCACAGTGGGCTGCATGCTCAACTTCGACACCACCACAAATCTGCAGTCGGGGGTGCGGGGTCGCGGTGCCTGGCACCTGTATGTGCCCCAAAAGACAGCAGCACAAGCACACAGCTCGTTCGCTTCACCAAGCTCCTAGACACCAGCCAAAACCCAAAAATCATCTAGCATCCCGAGCTCCGAAAGACTACATTAGGCCGTGCCTGGGGATTCCTCAAGATACGGCACACCATGATGTCGACTCTGAATCCAGTATGACTACCCCGCATCTTGTTTAAAGGGACCCTACCTCTCACGGAACTGTCAGACTGACACCTAGGCTCTAAACCCCTAAACCTTAACCCTAAACCCTAACCTTAAACCCTAAACCCCCAAACCCTAATACCAGCGAAACGAACCCCTATAGCCCGTGCATCGAGCCCTCGGCAAACCCCACCCAGCAAGTCCTGGAACGATTGGCGCTGCGTCTCGATCTGGCCCTGGGTTGGCGCTGTTTATCACTTCATGCCAAGATTGAAACAAGGTGCTACTGTAGAAGTGCGAAACACGTTGCCTGGTTCATTTACATTTCACTATATGCCTTTCAAGTTTTATCATTACTGCGACATAAAGTGCTGGATAGTGGCGATGACGAGTAGTGTCAACAGCCCGTTGTGATGATGAACATGCTTCTGAAGACCATGGGCACTGGCACGTTGCATGTCCGATGATTTTCTTGCTCTGCACCCCGCATCAGACGATCCGACTTCAGTAGGCATGGCTCCTCTGTACGCATACTACACGGGCCTAAATAACTGGCTATACTAACTTAGGAGTTCCTTATGAGAGTTATAATAGAAGGGGCTCCAAAACCCTATTCCTATTGTAATTATTAAGGCTCAAGAAGATTACTGGCCCTGGTTCAAGCCTAAGGGGGCTCCACTAGGCCGAGCGGCCTATCAAACTCAATTGGTTTTGACAGCTTCTGCATCTCTGACCTCCAGTCTCTCTCTTCCTTTCCTTCGCTCTTGTTTTCTTCCTCTGTCTCAATGCCTCTCTCCGTCTCTCTGTCTGTCTGTCTGTCTCGGCACAGAAACAGACAGACAGAGAGAGAGAGAGAGAGAGAGAGAGAGAGACAGACGGAGACTTGCGTGCATGCGTACAGATAGGCAAAGATTCATACAAGCACATGCATGCAGGCAGGCAAGAAGACAGACATACATAGACTGCACTCAGCAGAGTTATGTGGTCATTCTGTACACTATCATCAGCCATGACTCCTGAAACCGCTCAGCGGCTTCCAAGATGGGCTGCCGCACCTGACAGGCTGACAGGGTTGACTTCTTCAGCTTTCGAGGCGCATGGTGTGTGGAGTTGGAGTTCGATTTGCGAATGGCATTCGAGGGGTAGTGGTAGAGTACAGGTCTTCTTGTTCTTCACCTTGCATAAGGACCGGATGCCAAGCTATGCGCCGAAACAACACGTAAAGAAATCAAGGTATCCCTGCTATCAAAGACAGATCGTTTCAATAATTTGCCACAAGTACCGTGACGCACCATGCTCTACCTGCTTTGGAAAGACACGGGCTCCCGAACTTGCCTGTTGCTCCAGCTCTTGCATGAAGTTTTTCATTCGGGAGTTCCACTCCTGCACAAATGCACATCCATCTCCCTAGTGAGCTGTTTCAGGTTTAGGGTTTAGGGGTTTAGGGTTTAAGGAAGCTTCTCTAAACCAAACCCGAGGGCTCCAGTTACCTAAATACTAGGCTAACCACACAAGCCATCCAATATGCAGCCCAGAATAGTAGGCTACTAACCATATCATACATAACCCAGCAGCCCATTCTTTAGGTACCTGGAGCCCAAGGGAAACTGACTGCACAGTTATCGCAGTCTCAGCATGAAAAGTCCTCCCCAGCAGCGACAAACGGCTGGCGAAGAGCCTCTGCCTGGCAAACAACACAAGCAAGGCGCAAAGCATGCTATAGTGTGGCGGTTTAGCATAGTATAGCATAGTTTAGTTGGGATGATAAGTACATATAAGTGTAGTTACCTTAGTTATAACCCTAGTTACCAAGTTCCATGAACCTCTGAGTAACAAGAGAAACATGAGAACCTGTCTGGGGTTTGGGTGAGCATTCGAGGACTTCTGAAACGCTTCTGAGAGTCCGGGTTTTCAGGGCTTGGCGGTTTAAGTTTCCGGTAAATGCATGGAAATGCCAAGCTGGGCGCAGGGTTGCGAAAGTTCATATAGGGGCCTCAATACTTAGAAAGGGTTCTGGGGCCCATTGTACGATAATTGTAACAAGGAGCCCCCAAAACATATATGATTTAGGCCCCTATCCTGGACCCTAAACCCAATAATTAGATCCCTTATAGACACCACAAGGATCCCTTTACAAGTAGTATAGGTATTTCTTAAGGCCCCTATATTAAGTCCCCACGCCTCATGCTTCACGGCCCGCACTCCTTCCTCCACATTGGCCATGAAATCCTCGATGCCTGCAGGGGATCTCAGTGTAGGGGTTATGGGCATTAAGGCCCCCTACCCCCCTCCCCCTACCAATTTTTCGTCGCAGCATGGTGGATCCACAGATGAAGAGAATTGTTGTGCCATTTACCAGACAAGTCTATGACACCACGAGGATAGGGCTGAGGCTTCCAACACAAGCTGAGTCCCAAACGTAAACTAGAACACGGAATTGCCAAACTGCAGACCCTGCTACCCCGCAAACGTTAAACCCAATTAAAAAAACACAACGCAACAAGACCCGGAACTCTAAACGTGCTCATACTTAGGACCCTTCCCACATCGCTACTCCACAAACCCAACACCCTCACTGTAACCCTAAAACATTAACTGTCCTTATCATAAGGATCCTGAAAAGTGGCCCCGACCCGAACTAGGGACCCCCACCGCCCAAATATAGGGGCCTAGAAAAGTACCAATGATGTTCCTTGGGGTTTCTCATTATAGTGATGACATCTTATACCCGACAGCCCTATTCAAACGATGAAGGCCCCTATACTAGATCCTTAAAATCGCCCTTACAGTAGCCCTTTTGGATCCCTTTAAGGAGGAACCCGCTTCAAATAAGAAAGGCCCCTACATTTTGGAGCCCTCCCTTATCGTAACCCTTCCAACGCACCCTTGAAGGGTGCCCCTTTCAAATTAGTATGGGTCCTAGATTAGCCGGCCTGACACCGCGCGTCCCGGGCTCCAGGCGCGGCCGTCGAGCCCGGGTTGACCGGGCCGATCGTCGTAGCCTCAGGCATAGGGTTTAGGGTTTAGGACTTACAAGGTTTAGGACTTTTAGTTTAGGGTTTAGGGCTTATAGGGTTTAGGGCTTTTTAGTTTAGGGATAGCAAGCCACACAGCTTTGATTTCGCTGATCGTAAGATCATATTAAGCTCATGAATATCGAGATATTGTCATTAGCATATTTTTCATTATCATGATCATCAACTCTATCATCATACGTATAAGGATAATGCGAACGGAGGGTTTCCCGGGACTCGGGAGAAACCCCTATCCTCAAAACCCCAAGCAGTAAACCTCTCTAAACCCTTCTAGTGCCAGAAAGTTGGAACATGGCTTTGGGGGGATGAGTGCTAGGATCCCTTATAGTTTACATGAAGGGCATGAGGATAATTATGTTCCAACTTTCTGGCTTCTACTTTAACCCTCGTCGAGTTGCTGTATCTCCTTGGCCGGTTCGGCCGGAAGTTCTTGTCCTCCGTAGTGCTCCACCTCTCCTGGGAATCTTCGATCGGGCTCGGAAGCTTTCCGTGCAGCTTGGCTAGAGCTTATGGGGTGACTATAAGGATTGGGAGAATTCTCAGGAACTGCCTCTTGACATATGCCTTCAAGACCATATAATTACTCTTCCGCCGTAGAGGCATCAATGGGGAACAATGACCCTCATAGTCATTATGACGGTAGACCTCATCGAAACCACTATCATGTTTTATGGGATGCCTTCGTGTAACCCTTAGAGTCAATACAAATCCTCGCTTGGTCCAAGCCACATCTGCAGGCGGCTGAGAGAGAAAGGCCTCCAGTCAGAAAGCACAGTCGCCAGGTTCCAGCTGTTTTGTTTATCACCCATTTTCCGTCGGCCGATGACAAGTTTCAGAGGGCCGTGCAGGCCGAGGGATGGGGTACCCGAACAGACCAAATACACCGCGGGATGACCACCTTCTACTGGGCAGAGATACATGAGCCTCAAAGTGACTACCTTAAGGCCAATGTATATACTATATGAGTACATGGACCCTTAAGAAAAACATTAAAGTATGGTACTCCAAAGCCCGGTCTACCTCCACTAGTTCCCCAACCCTTTGGTGGAGGATCAGCAGATGCCTCCCGCCCAGAGAGAATGGCGGACGTCAGCAGCATAACGAAGGCCAGGAAGGCCAGGTAGACGGCCTCCGAAGGTTTGGCCAAACAGGGGTCGGGGACAAGTTTACGAAGTGCGAACTAGCCAAGAAAGCTTGAAGGTGTTGGGCAGCATAGCTGGGATGCATGTCTGCTTGAAGGATCTTGAAGGCATTCGAATCCCTGCACTACCATAGAATCTCCCGGGATCTCGTGAAGTGCGATTGGTCTATACAGCTGATCGACATCCAGCAATCCTTAACTCAGACAACATGACAAATACATCCGCGTTTGGTGCACACACACATACATATGCGTATCTGCTTCATGCGTATGTGTGTGCATGTATGCATGTCGGGCGGCCGGTGGTCGTGCTGCAGGTATGTAGCTATAGTTTTGCATGCCTTGTAAAACAAGGGAAATGCGTTGAGCACTATGCCTCGCCGAGGAAGCGTGAGGGTCCAGCGTCTTCCAGCCACGCCAGCAAAATGGTCAGTTGCGCCATGATCCTTCGTTCACCAGCAATCACTCGCATGTGGCATGTGTGCAATGTTCCCTGCATATTCTCTGTATCAGTACGTACAGCAAGTCTTCTCAGAGGTTATCACGGGCTTTTTGTGTGCCTACCGATGGAAAGGCAAATGCATACCAAGAGGTGTTTTTAGATCATGGCAAACACTACTGCTACTACTACTACTACTACTACTACTAGTGCTAGTGCTAGTGCTAGTGCTAGTGTTAGTGCTAGTGCTAGTGCTAGTGCTAGTGCTAGTGCTAGTGCTACTGCTACCGCTACTGCTACTGCTACTACTACTACTACTACTACTACTACTACTACTACTACTCCTACTGCTACTGCTACTGCTACTGCTGCTACTACTACTACTACTGCTCCTGCTGCTGCTGCTGCTGCTAGTAGTAGTAGTAGCAGTAGTAGTAGTAGTAGTAGTAGTACTACTACTACTACTACTGCTACTACTACTACTGCTACTACTACTACTACTACTGCTACCTACTAACTACTAACTACTAACTACTAACGACTAACTTCTGTCTACTCACTACTGACGACTGACTACTAACTACTAACTACTAAAACTACTACTACAACCACGTTAATGACGATACTGTAAACGTAGTACATGACATGTCCACTGGTGGATGCCTGACTATGCATGCGAAAGTTTGCCAGGGTAACAAGCCTTGTAGTTGCAGTATTGATTAGCAGGTCCACCATCGCTCCTTTGTTCGGATTTTTGTTGGTTGACCCTCCCTTTCTGGTCTGCCTGAGCTTGGGGTTACCGGTTACGTGTGGACCCAGGATTGAAGTTTGAGGGTTTGGGTAGTGCCACTTACAAGTGCTGCCTCCCCGCTACAAGCACATTACAGTCTGCTAGACGACTCTGGTTATCATGGTGCATGTACAGATCCCGTCGTGTGTAGTCATATGGGGGCCTGCATGAGTGGACTAGGCCCCGGGTTTTCGGTTCGGTAAATTACACTACATATAATCATACATGATGACTACTGCCATTCGGGGTTCCTTACTCAAAAATGAGTCCCCGAATGGTACTGGTAATTACTTAGATTTAGACCGCCCGCCATATTACATTATGTTTGGGCTGCTTCATAAGGGCATTCAGGCCCGGACATGAGCTCACATCCGCGGCAGCTCACTCAGTTTAAACCAGAAGGCTCGCAAAAAAAAAGCCAGATACGAAAATGAAGGTTTAGGTTTAGGGTTCACAACGGTTTAGGGTTTAGGACATTCGAAGGAGACTTCGATGTCACTCTGAAGATGTCCATGCACGCCAGGGATCAGCGCCACGCCCTGCAAGATGTTGAGCTACCCGTCTAAGACTATGGGTTTTGCCGCAAGATGAACCAAGTGTAGATGGGCCCACAAACGAGCAACACCAACGCATACTACGTACATGCATCATAGTAATCATGTTTTGGGGAGCCGTGGGCACAGGAATTGAAGCGAAAGCTTTGGGGGAAAGTGTTGGTCGCTTGCGTGCCCTGTAAAAACCCGACTCGGTTGAATACTCCGGTATTACTGGCGGAATCACAAGCACCAAACACAACAAAGGTTTTGATAAGGCTGACGTTATAGTCATCCGAAACCCAAACCCCAAAGACTATCTGGTTTCAACGTGGGTCTGGAACCAGACCACACAGAGGGTTCGAAGCTTACTTCTGGTTTCGTGACTTTAGGCCTAGGGCTTTGTCTTCGGTCACAGCTAAAACCAGCAGTTTCTCCGAACACTTGATGCTCCTCAGCCATAAGGGTCCTTAGTAAGTATTCCTCCCCTGCCTGGCCGAACCAGGTCAACAGGCGCACGGACGGCAGCGAAATCTTAACCTTAGTTGCATGCCACATGAACGGCCCCCGAAATGTCTCAAGAAGGCTGTTGAAAAGCAGCATATGATAATACTTTTGTACTACTAATAAGAATCATAAATATAATAATCAGGGGTCAGGGGTCACGTGCTCAACCTGGGACCCCCTTGAGTGATTCCGACGTCTCACATCAGGTCACACTCCGGAAGCCAGAAATCTCTGACTGGGCTAGCTCCTAGGCCCTTTAAGTATGCAGCTGTTTTTCCTTGCGAACACCGTTTATAAGTCTTCCTGGAAGATTCAGCCGCTTCCCGGATGAATTTTCAATCAGGGAGATCTTCCTTGCCCCAAGCTGGCCCAAGGCGAGGAGGCTACTCCCAGTAGTCGTAGCATGTAACCCCAAACCTCCTGACCTCGGTTTTACCTTTACAACTGCATCATGCCGACCAGCACCTATCGCGATCCCACAAAACCCGTCCAAACAGCCCTTCTGGTCTGGAATGACAAGTACAGGAGCTACACGACTTGTACTTGGAGGGTGCAGGTGACCCCCCGCGGCCTCTGAACATCAAACTTCCGAAATCATGATCAAAGTAAAACCCCTGGGTGCCCCGACAGGGCAGATGTCTACGACCATCACGGAGACATCCCACACGAAGAGATGCTTTTGCCTCTGCTGTAAGTTGCATAGACTTTGGCCTAATGAGTCTGCACCCTGCCTAGGCAGGGGGCGAGGTGGCGGGGTCGGGATCTGCTCTCCAAGTTCTTTGAATCCCAGCAGTCCAGGATTCTCAACCCAGACAGTTCTAGGAAATGATGCCTGCAAGTGGCTGAACCTGCAACTGAAGCGTGGGTGCAGAGTGCTGCCGCCATCCCGACGGGGCAAGGTCATCCTGCATTCGCGGCAGACACTTCCAGTCTTGCGATGCTTGGAACAAGAACTCCCCGAACGACGTGGATCAGTCCAGGGGTACACAAGAGCACGTGGCACAGCTGGCGATGGCTGCATGCAAACAGCGACATTTCTGCGGCCTGATGATCGACATAGCTGGACTGAACGTCGTCCAACAAGCCCATCGGAGCACCTTCCCTCCTTGGTCCCAGCTCGTCTACTATCACCCGTTGCGGCTGGTAGTACCAGCACCAGTACCACTGCCACAACGAGGACGACGACCGACGACTACCGCAATGGCTACCCCTACTGCTACTGCTGCTTGTCCCGCTAATGCTACCGCTACTGCTACTGCTCGTGCGGCTGCAGCTGCGGCTGCGGCTACTACCGATACCACGGCCACGACCACTTCGACGACGAATGCTGCTACTACTACTACTACTACTACTACTACTACTACTACTACTGCTACTGCTACTACTACTACTACTACTACTACTACTACTACTGCTACTGCTACTGCTACTACTACTACTACTACTACTACTACTACTACTACTACTACTACTACTACTACTACTACTACCACTGCTACTGCTACTATGTAGTACTAGAAGCAGTGTGATTGCTACTGCTAGTGTCGGCGGAATTGGCTGTCCGAGATGCCACGAGGAGCCAAAGAATCCAGCGGCACCCAGGAAGTTGGTGATGCCAGAAGCTACGGCAGACCTTCCCAGGTGCTCTATTTTCGTCGCCATAGAGGAATCGTGGTACCGTCTCACACAGGTATGCTTCGACAAGGGGGCATTGGTAGGGACATGGGTGCGTAAAGCTGTATGCTCAAATTCGATTGCGCATGGAAGTTATGTTGTGCGGGTGTTGAAACAGTGGGTCGCTGTGGCATACTGATTACTGGCTCATGGGTAGCTTCGCTTGCAGGGTGGGATTTCGTGGGCGCCATGCGAACCCTCATTTTCGGGGCGGGGCTGCTTCCGGAAGCTAGACACTGGCGTCCTAACACAGCGGCCTTAACAGTTAGAATAGGGTTTTGGGGCCCATTATACTATAAATATACTAGGGAGCCCCCCAAAATAGTATAGGTAATTATTTAGGCCCTATAGTACTCTCCTGAAAGCCCTGCTTCTGCAAATCAGCAAAGCCGAATGGCCTGCAATTGACCTAATAAACACACAATGTTATGTTCAAACCCGTCTCCTGAAGCGGACATTGCGTTGCAGAGCTTGTGATGATGTGTTTACTATGGGGGCCTTATAGTTAGAATAGGGTTTGGGGGGTATATTATATACAATTATAAGAATGAACCACCAAAATAGTATTGGTACTGATTTACGCCCCCTATATTACATGGACTCCACGTTCCGATTCCAAAGTCCGAGGCAGGGACATTGAGCCAAGAACGGCGGCAACCCGCGCACCGGGAACCTGCACGAGCAGGGCAGTGCTCTGCGATTCTTAGACTGGTGGGAGTTTCCGAAAATTAGGGATGCCTGATTTCGGGGTACTTATACTAAGGATCCTACTATTTAGGGTACGATCTTAGGGTCCCCTATTTTCGGAAACTCCCTGGTATAGTATCGGACAAGTCCCGACACCCCAAGCCGGGTTGAGGGTTGAGCAGGCTGTCGGATTACACCTTTCTGGAGGGGCCTTAATAATTAGAATAGGGTTTGGGGGCCCATTATACTACTAGTAGAATTATATATGGAACCCCCGAAATAGTACAGGTAATCATTAAGGCCCCTATACCACAGAACCCTACGATAAGTTCCTTATAGATCCCTTTTTGGAACCCTTTAAAGGAAGCCCCCATAATATGGCATAGGTAGATATTAAGGCCTCTATAGGATCAGATCCCTTTAAGTATAGACTTTTTTTCATAATGGGTTCCCGTTAAATAACAGGTACAAAAAAAGTATCAACGTACGGTATTCCAAAGCCCAGTCCCTTTAGATCCCTTTTTGGAACCCTTTAAAGGAAGCCCCCATAATATAGCATAGGTAGTTATTAAGGCCTCTATAGGATACTCTCGGACTCCAAAGACCAAAGCCACCCGGGAACCTGAAGCTTCCCAGCTCCCAGCTCCCAGGGCAATTTTCCCAAAGAGGGGTGTTAAGGGTTGCTATAAGGGTTCCTTTAAGGGTTTCTATAAGGGTTCTTGTAGTAGTGGGTTCTATAAGGGTTCCTTTAAGGGTTTCTATAGGGGTTCTTATAGTAGTGGGTTCTATAAGGGTTCCTTTAAGGCTTAAGGGTTTCTATAAGGGTTCTTATAGTAATGGGTTCCTTTATAAGCTTTATACGTCATAAGTTGCTGTGCTTCTGCAAGGGGTTGGGGGGGCTCCGAAAAGGTAGCACTAAGGCCTTATGCTGGACGATATGATGCTAAGCTACATGATTCTGCGGTTTGTAGACAGGAAGATGCATGTACCCTGCTTGGAGCTACTGCGTCGGAGTCGCCCGTGGGTATCTTTGGATCCTGGGCTTTCTGGGCTTTCCGTGCACTGGGGCCATCGATGAAAACAAGGATCACTTCGGCGGTACAAGGACCGCCTTTGAAAAACCTTGTAGAAGCACGAATACTTGTAGCATGAATAACTGTAGCCATCATCATCACCAGCATTAATTAGAACGATCATTGTCATCACCATCAGTGCCTCCAGCTCATGGCAGTCCGCAAAGGTGTGGCCGGAACAGAGCCAACGCGAGCCCTGGGCCACCATGAGAAGAAGTCCTGTCAAGACGAGTTCGGAGTCTGTCTTGTGCCTTTGTTTTTGGGGATTCGGCTTGGAAACCATTGGGAAAGCTTTTGGTCGAAGGTCAGAGGATTTCTGAGCTCGAGTGGTGGACCCCCGTGAAAGATGCCTGAGCTGGCAGCTGCGTGCAGCAATCTGAGGAATGATGCTGCCCGCCTGCTATGGCGAGGATTGCAATGCTGAAGAAACGGAGACCCATGACCTGAAATTGTCAAGGGCGGTTTGAGGGAAGTTGAAAAGCTGGTGCAACAACCATAGCAAAGCTCGCATAGGATGATCCAGTTAAAATGCGGCTGAACACGATCCGGGGGGCCGTGTTCATCCCTCGCCAAACGAACCGCAGGAAGGTGTCGGTCTGCTTGGAGCACGCAGACTCCCACATCAGCTCGATGCGGATGCGCCCTGCGAGGCAACTGCAAACACAAAGGTTTCCAACCCCAAGGTAGACAGCTGTTGCACATGTCTTCAAGTGTTGACATTGACGACAAGCTACAACACTGACCAGTCGGTTTGTGCAAGTTTGTGACGTGCTGGTCAATGCAGGCTCTATATGAAGTAGCTGTGGTGACAGTGCCTGATCGGCTCTAAAAGTGACAGTCACCGTTGCCGGAGCAAGTCCTGGCAAAACCCTCCTAGCTGATGAGCATCGCTTCAAGAGCCTCTCCAACTTCATAGTTGCAGCCGGATGCCCATATGAATCGTAGAGCCGCTTCAGAGATCTGGAATCTGGATGGCCAGGCTGCTGCGCGCCCCAGGCCCCAGTCAGAAGGCTCATGCTCGTCTTGTCGCAGAGATCAGGATGCCTGGAATCTGTCTCAAGTTTGAGTGATCTTGATGGCTTCGAGGACGCGCCCGACAGCAGCGAGGCCAGTGTGCACTGCGGCGGGTGCCTGCTGCTGCTTGGCCTTCTTGTCAGGCTTCTTCTTCTCCTTTGGCATCCATGGATCCGAAGTTGCCCGCGGCTGCCAGAGCTGAACGCAGCAGAATGGTGCTGGGCCTACAGGTCCTTTGCAGTGGTGTTTTGGGCAGCCTTTCTTAGTACAAGTTGGCTCGCACATCGCCACGTAGGGGACTTGGAAGAGATGGAAGTGCTTCATACACTGTCGGCCGGCCCGGCACAAGGCGTTAGCACACGTGTTCTTTGGAAGGTCGACGAGTATTGGTTCCATTGGCGGTTGGGCTGCCAGATCCTGTCGCAAAAGCTCGTTAAAGCGACAACTTCTCTCATCCCCGTTTGGTTGCAGCCATTCCTCGGCCAATCGGAGCCGAAAATCCTTGAAGGCAGAAGAGACTGGACTCAAGTACCACCGCAATGCCCTCGCTTGATCTGCATACCACAATACCAAAACCTGCGCGATGCTTTCGCAAGCCGCTGCATTCAGGAAGTCCTCAAAAACAGCTCTGCCTAGAATTAGATCCGAGAAGCTCTGGTCAAAAGCATTGACTTTGCCATCGAAGGGGAGCTGAAGGACGTGAAAGTACACTGCCACAATACTTGCAGGCACGGCTGCGCTTGCTCTCACCGCCAGGAGAAGATCAAATTCCACTCCTAAGCCGAAGCCATATAAGTGGTCTGCAGCCAGGACCTCGTCGACTCGGAGGCCTTCAAAGCGTAGTGCCGCGATGGCACAGGGCAGAGCGAGCTGGCGGCTTGTGGCTGCCGGGCTGTAGATGCCAGGGTGCAAGTGCCTTCTGGGTGACAGGAAGGGTGCGGAAGCACGACCTGCCATGTCTCCGGGTGATCCTTCGGCATGCCAGCCGCGCGGAGCAGCCTCCTCCGTGCTCGGAGGCTGGTAAGAATGCTTAAAAGCAAAGTAGCTGAAGGTGAGGCAGCCATCCCGAAACTCGCAGCTTAGGACACTGTGCCTGTCCCGTCTTAGGCCCAGGTGTCCTTCTTTCAGTTGCAGCCACGGCTCCCTGGGCCCTGTCCGATCCGTCAAGTCGTGAAGCGAAACATCGCCTTGCTTCTCGCGGTGCCAATCCGCGAGCAGCTCGGCTTCTGAAGCTCGGAATATGAAATCTTTCAAGGCCCAGCGAACATTCGGCTTGTACACCTTGGCCGTGCAGGGATCCAAGCACTTCTGAATCACCTCTGGTATCAGCACGAGATCGTTCCTTTCGAGTGGTTGTGTGTGCGTCGAAACCAGGTATTGAAGCTCGATGGGTTCGGCAAGCCGGGCATCTTTCAACAGCATCGCTTCTTGCAGCAGATCCATCTGGCAAAGCAGCTTGAAATCTGCGGCCCACGGGCGCTCTGCATTCGTCCTCTGCGCAATCTGCGTTTTCAGGTCCTGAACCGAGTCTGTCAGGTGCACCTGGTAGCTCCCCAAGCTTGCGCCTGTGAGGGCGTGCGCCACATGCACTTCCACAATTTGGCACTCCTTCTCCCCGTTCTCGGGCGTGTCCCCGCAAGGATAGCCCTGCAAGGCTTTGCTGTCGCTGGGAGGGCCTCCATCTGCCGTCCCTGCTGATCCTGCTGCCTGGGTGTCATGATTTCCACCATTGCTCTCTCCAACAGATGTGGTGCCAAGGCTCATGACTAAGAGCTCCCGCTAGTGACACGTGCAAAATGAAAACGGGTTTCGTGGGTTCTATGGGAGGCAAAGGAATCCTCCGACATATGCACTACGATTTACAAAGATGCGCTGGGACAGACTGTTTCTGCTTATTGCAAACACTTATATACGAGGTTGGCCGGTTGGAATGGTTTCGGACATTGATGTGGCTTATGAGTTCAAGCTGGTGTTCTCCGCCTTAACTGGAGATCTGAGGCTTGAAGGGTAAGGGCTACACCGTACCCAATGCCGCTGAAAGCCCATGGGTGTCGAGTTCGGCCTTTCTGGGTTTGAGGTGTCCTCCTACTCCGACCATTTAGGAAAAGCCCATGCCGAAACCTCTCATCCTTGCGATAGCACTTCTGAAACATGGAAACTCTCAGTCTCTGAGTTTAAACCCCCTTGGCTTGGCTATCCCACCCGTCAGCACACCCCTGAAGGCTACTTCTGCCGACTTCGCACACTGGCTTTTGAGCGCTGAAGTAGCGCAAAAATAACACGAGCCAGGTAATCATAGAAATGAAGCTAACAGCATTGATGCCAATGATTCTGATGATTGGAACCCGTCTGTTCAACATGACATTTGGCCAACCACATGAAGTAGAAAATCAACCACTCTGCACTGCTACTGGGGCTGCTGCTGTAGCTGTTGCCAAAAACCACCACTTACAGATGCCACTACTAATCACTATCCACTGAACACTTGCCACTTGGCCCTTACCACTACTACTATTGCCAGCACTCCTCCTCCTCCTCTTCCTATTCCTCTACTACTACTACTCCTCCGCCTCCTGCTACTGCTACTGCTGCTGCTGCTGCTACCACCGCCACCACCGCCACCACAACCACCACCACTTACCACCACCACCACCACCACCACCACCACCACCACCACCACCACCACCACCACCAGATCACCACCACCGCCACCACCAGGTCACCACCACCGCCACCACCGCCACCACCAGGTCACCACCACCGCCACCACCACTTACTACTACTACTACTACTACTACTACTACTACTACTACTACTACTACGACTACTACGACTACTACGACTACTACGACTACTACGACTACTACTACTACTACTACTACTACTACTACTACTACTACTACTACTACTACTACTACTACGACTACTACGACTACAACGACTACTACGACTACTACGACTACTACTACTACTACTACTACTACTACTACTACTACTGCTAGTACTACTAGTACTACTAGTACTACTAGTACTACTAGTACTACTACTTCTTCTACTAGTACTAGTACTACTGCTCCTGCTCCTGCTCCTACTCCTACCTCCTACTCCTACCTCCTACTCCTACTACCACTACTACTGCAGCAGCTGTAGATTCACAAGAAATTTAGGCGATAGATCGACATTGCTCCTAAACCCCGGCTCCTCAGGCACTGCGGTTTACGGTTTACGGTTGTGGACTCCCTTGCAGTGCAGCCTTCGGACTCAGCGGATGCTGCGGAGCCAACTGGCGGCCCTAGCGGCAACTCCTGGAGTAGCATGTGCATGGACAGAAAATTTGGCTGTGAAAAAAACGAGTTGCTGTTTCCGTGTTTAGGTGAAAAAAAAACTTTGTGGGCGGATTCTGCAGGCATTTCGGAGCGAGGGGTCGTCGGTTGTCGATGTGCGCTCGCTGTTTCGTCTACATCGGAATGCAGCTGCAAGTTGTAGCATCCAGGAAACAAATTTCGCTAGAAACAGCAGCAGGAGGAGCAGTTGTCGCCCTGCTGTAACTGACACGAGCATTTGTTCATTATGCCGGCATCCAATTCAAGCATATCGTGTAGCGCGTGCACCACTGTATAAGTCCTACCAGAAGGACTGTCGACACAAACTAGATGACTATGAGGATCCTTCCTGTGGCTTCCCTCTCCTCCACCAGCCGTGCTTCGGATTGAACAGTGGATAGGGGTAGCTCTGCATATCCCAAGAACCTTAGGAGCTGGATGAACACAGAACATGAAAGGCAGAGGTTCCAGGCATTCTGGCTCCCTTGCATTCTGTTGCCGAAGAGGGGCTCATCGTGACGCCTGCCCTGGCTAGCACCGTAGATGGTCGCTTCCAGAACGTACTCCGCTTCCCAAGGGCAGGTAGGGAGCGTGAACCAGAACCTCAGAAAGCGGTAGCGACTCTTCATCGAAACAGTGCTTAGGGTTTGCCGGGTTCAGGGTTTAGGAACAGCTGCCACAGGGTGCACCACATGCATGCAGGAAGCAAGACTTGAACTAAGAAAGCTTGCATTCTGTGGCAGAAGCACCAAGGCCTGACAACTCCCCTAGGCTCCCCATCCAAATCAACATTTCTTCTGAAACTGATTTAGGGGCCAATTTTAATAATTAGGGTCTTGGGCCACTTTATAGTATAGTTATAGTAAGGGACCCTAAGGAACAATGTAGGCAATTATCATTTAGGTTACTTAGGTTTCCATAGTAAACAAGACCAAGCTGCTCTTCGCGCCAGCACGGGTGCCGTGTCTTCCCAGCGGCATGCGTCCAGCGTTTCCGACTTTTTTGGTACCGCTCCCCCACAGTCCGACGTATGCACAGCACTGCCTGGCAGGCACTGACGAGATTTCTGACCCCGGAGGAAGCAAATACAGTACTAAATTGTAGGATCCTTTTTATAAGGACCACAGATACCAAACTCCGGACTCTAAGACTGTAAAGCCGCTCTAGAGTCGAAATAAGACCATCTGACCCTGTCGACCCTAACGGCCAAGCAGTATGGCGGCAAGACTTATACGAGCCTCTGAACTCTGAGCAGGGGGCTTTCGGACTGCAAGTTGAAACCCAAACCCTATGAAGTCCTGCTAATGCACCTGCGAGTTCACTCGGCAGTAGACAAAATACTTGCTGATCGGCGGTGTCCGCAATGTCAAGAAGGTCGAGTCTAGTAGTATTGCCTCTTATGTTGCCCTCCTCTCTGCTAGGACATGCTGGGCACAACTGTTGATAGTCATGATGACCTTCTCATGCGACTGAACTTACTCATGCTATAGCGATCGAATGCTCTGACCAATCGTATTACCCGAGCTCTTTCACCCAAAATGTCAAAAGTACTTGTAAGGCGCCGGCATACGGATCGTAAGTGGCACCTTGCCCGAAGATCTGCACCTGGCAAACCCCGGCTTTTGTCACGTGTGTGTGTGTGTGTGTTGGGGGGGGGGGGGGGGTTCTTAAAAGCACTGTGTTAAGCAAAGCCAAGTAGTAGTTTAGGGGTTCGGGGTGTGAAGGCTGAGGGTTCAGAGTGAAACCTGTTTGGGAGTTGTGGAAACGCAGGGGCTTGGAGATTCTCAGCACGAAGTCGAATCTGGTGAGCCTGGAATCCTAAGACTTACTGCAGTTTAATATCATATAGCGAAACATAACAACACATAACAAGATGCTTTGAGCAGAAGAGTATTACATATTGTGGCATAATATATCAGAATCCCATTCAATGTCATATCCTAGGTTGATGTAACATAATATGGTATCATGAAACATATAATGACATGACATGTTAAGACGCCATATATAACATGGCATAAAGTATTATAGTATAATGCAGCATGGTCGAACATGACAAAGCATGCTGTAACATGATGAAACGAGATATAATAGTGTATACTATAGAAAAGCTTGCTAGAATAAAACCCTATATACACTGCCTTACCATATGATATATTATAGTATATTAAAATAGTTTAATGCAATAGAACGTATTCTAGTGTAATATGGTGCAGTACATAATCAAATATTGAAAAATATAACATCATATCAAGAATATCATAGCATGTAATACTCAACATACGATCATAACATGTAAGATACAACACACTACAGTATAATGTAACAGAATACATTATAATGAGATAAAATATAAAAAGTACTTATGTTCGAATAATGTAATAAAACAAAATATGACATCACATAGAAACATGTGCATACAATAAAATATACCATTACATGTTCTAGTACAGTATGATATAACATGATATAAGAAACCATAATGGAGTATGGTATACTGATGCCATATCAGATAATACGCAGAACTCATTTCATATAGTGTGACGTAATAGAACACCATATAACCTCTCAAAACAACATAATCTAGTCGAATAGAACAAAATATGAGATAAAAAATGAAGTTATGTTACTGTAGTGAAATATAATATCCTATAATGAAACATAGAATAAGATGAGATAAGATGGTATGATTTGGTTTCTGATCAAAACCGTGATATTGTTTCCAAATCCTCGCAGAAGGAGAGGGTGCCAGATTCGCATCGGGAGCAAATACATTCGAGGGTCTCCAGCATGTTCATGGGGTCATAGAGCCCAAATCAGGGAGTCAAGTCGAATCCTGGAACAGGAAGTAGCAACATATCAATAGCAAACACGCCAAACTCCAGGTTTTATCGACACTCCGAAACAGTTCCGACCAACTCCAGCCACCTGAACATGCCAAATCCGCGTTTGATTTCAGATGCGCTCAGAATCTTTCGAAGGGAGCTACTGCAAACCTTTCTAGGCTTGCAGGGGCGCGCGTTAGTGCAACTCCGAAACTTTCATAGAATCATCTAAAAATCTAAAACCAATGTTCCGATTCCCCGATCTTCTAAGTGCTTGCTCGGCCCGGGAGTGCCTGGAAGGGATGGACGTCGCGAGCGCCCAAGCAGCGCACGCGAAGCCGTCCGGGTGCCTGGCGGGGTAATGTATAGGGGCCTTTATATTAGAATAGGGTTTTTTGGGGGTATATTATACTATGATTCTAATAAGGCACCCCCAAAATAGTATAGGTAATTATTTAGGCCCCTATAGTAACGGATACCGATCACGTCTGCTTCAAGAGTTGCTGAACAGCATTCTGTGTGCTTTGAACAGGTTTGCTAGGTTTGTGTGTCCTTCCGACCCCGGATGCTTTTGGGCTGGTGCTTCCTTCATGCAAGCATCTGCGAACAAGAAGCAGAACTATTTGGTCCCGAGATGTGTGCAAACCTTCTAAGTGCAGAGGGGTTCGCCAGATCCTGCGACAAACCATGGACAACACTTTATGAATTTTGCTCTGGATTCCGAAACCTTCGGGAAGCTCGCTCTGAAACAAGGCTAGAAAGCTCAGATCATAAATCCTGCCACTACAAGCGCCCAAGCAACGAGCATGCCACCTTTACCAAACTTGAATGGTAAAATCTCATATAACAATAATAACCCCTCATTATGTAAGAATCCCCATAAGTAATATGGTAGAATAAATACAACTGATTCCTCCCTATGACAAGACTATAGCGTCGCAGGCTGGCTCTGAGAAAGTTCCTGGAGGTAGCTTTGGAAATCCTCTCGACGCAAAACTTAAAACATGCCACAGCTGTTATGGGGCAACGAAGGCCGTAAGAGACTTAACAATGAGAATTGGGTTTGGAGGTATGATATAGCAACATGATCATCATATCAAGGAATAGTACTACGAACGGACTAACTATTCAGGCCTCAATGTTACGTAGCTAGCCTCTCCAGAATCTCCGAAGCCACAGAAACAACACCAGACCGTTAAACAAACATCATTTCAAGGCTCGGAGGTCGAGTCGTGTTGTGGGCATGGTCAGGTTCGGCAGTGCCTGCCCCCCTTCCTCCACCCCCATGGTTGGTACCCCGTCACCTCCCGAGGCGCTTCCGACAACGTAGTGTGGCTCTCCCGCCTCGCCTTTGGTGTGGCATGATTCGGGTTTGGGTCCGCTTGGAGTGGCTCTCCTCCCCCTCCTCTTGTGGTGTGGTGTGGTTCGCGGTTCGGGTCATCATCATTCCATAATTCAGGGTTTGGGTCTGCTTGGGGGTGCATCCCCTCCCCATCCTGGCCCCCATCGGGGGGCCCCATATCCTCCTGACAGTTCTGACAGTTGACGTTTTTGCTGCCGCCATGTGGGAGAAGCGCGCACAGTGAAAGGGTTCCGGCATGGTTGGGCGTGGGTGTGAGCGGAGGCGGGGGTTACCATGGGGGAGAGGAGCGGGGGGGGGTCAATAAGCTGAGAGCATGCATGCATGCAGGTATATGTATGTATGCATGTATGTATGTACATATATATATACACAGTATGTCTGTATATCTGGACATCTTTACATATGTAAATAAATCTGTAAAACACGTGTGTATATATATATATACACACATACATGTATGTTATGGATGGATATGTATGTTACATACGTGTATATATATATATATATATATACATAGATGTACATATGTTTACTTTTCTGTTTTGATATTTGTATTTGTATAGTTTCCTTGTTAAAAGGAGGAGACTCTCGAGAATTGGGCTTCTGTGAGGAGGCTCGTGAAAAGATCAAGAGCTCAGAAGAGAACCGAGACGTATCAAAGTACTCCTGGAATCCCCTGGAACCCTCGCGATGGGACCTCCTTTGCCTTCGAGATCTGGACTTGCTGCGATGACGCCTGATGCAGGAACGGATGGAGGGCTTCCCTCCAGGGGGGGCGATTTCGGAAGATGTCCGGGCTCCGGGATGTAAGATAGATGATGGAGTTTCGGACTCAACGGGAATGGCTCGGCTCAGCGGTCTGTTGTGAGAGAAGACTGGCCCCGACAACTTGGCCCGCATTACTGTTGGTCACACTAGCACAAGTACTAGTGGTGCCCAGCGACAGGGTTGAATAATTCAGAAGCAGGATCAGTGGGACTGATGATGATGCTATAGCTGCAGCTCCTCCTCCTCTACCACGACCACGTCGACGACGAGGACGACTACCGCTACCGCCACCGCTAGCGCTACCAATAACGATACCGCTGGCACTGCCCCTCTACCAGTACCAGCACCACTACAGCCACTGCTACCGCTACCACTGCTACTTCCCCTGCTTCTTCTACTTGTACTGCACTACTAGATACTATGAGTACATGTACGAGTAACGAGCACCAGTACGAGTACGACGACTACTACGGCTGCTGCTGCCGTTGCTGCTTCTGATACTGCTCTAGTACTGCGACGAAAACGACGACTACTACGATTGCCATGATACAGTACCGCTACCGCTGCCACTGCCATTGCCACAGCCACGGCCACTACTGCTGCCATCAGTCATCATGGCACGGTGAACATGATAGGATGACGATGACGATGATGGCTATGATGGTGATGATGAACATTATCATGATGATGATGGTGGTGACGATGACGATGTATGGCAATGATGATGAGGATGGCTATGATGATGCTGATGATGGCGACGATGATGGCAGTGAAGAAGATGATCACGACTCAAGACCTCGATCATGAAGAGGCTCTTTGCATCTATCTTTGTTGCAACTGATTCTATTCCCAAACAGCCAAAGCCTTAAAGCCCTGAAGCCACACTTTAAAGGTCGTCCGACAGCGTCCTCAGACCCAAACCCTAAACCAAGTCTTGCGAGCCTCGCTGGCGATGAGGGACTCTCTCAGTCCTCCCTCTTTTGGCATGGCCAAGTACTACTCTTAGGGCGTGAAGGAATGCCGCTCTTGTTACAGTAACCAACCCCTCCATCTAAGGGAGCTGCCATGTAAAGAATCCATACAGAAAAACAATTAGACAGTACTCCCCGTAGAGTTCTGCAAGTAATGAGTCGTGCACTGGTTTGGCTCAGGGTTATAAAGCTCATGGTGCTACAGAACTTCAGGGCTTGGCTAGGAGAAGGCATGCCGTACACCCAGCCGACAGGCTCACATGTCTGTAAAGTGCGCTTGGCTGGTGTAGGCTTTGCTGATGTCGCTGTGCATGCCCGTAAGCGGAGAGTTGTGCTACTAGTAACCTTACAGCGACAACCTGAATCTAAGGTCGTGCATAACTAAGCTTGGGGGGCTATGCACTGTCCACGAAAACATCACCTGGACCTGAGGTTCGGCAGCAGCTGTAGACATGCATCTCTGCACACACACACACACACACACACGTGCGCGCGCAGATACGCGTCCCTGTCTAGGCAGTGCCGAGGCGGTACATGGTACTAACAGCTTGTACAGAAAACGAGGATTGCCAACTCGTGGTTCTCATGTGTTGGTACGGCCGTCTGCTCGTAGGGGACCCCTGCTTCAACTTCACAGCTACGAGAATTGGCTCGTTGATTTAGGCCATTCAGGCCCTTGGCTTTGTCTTGGGGAGATGTCACTCGAAATGCCAAACCGAGGAGAAAGACATGGGATTCAGGGCCACGGGATTCGCAGTGCAAACCTTCATCCCAGAAACGCTAAGAGGAAGAGTCATGGTAAGTGACACAGCATGAACAGTAAAGCTGATACCGGCCAGGGAAGGCGATGGTGCTGAGGATGGCTATGGGTCATTTACCTTGAAAGGAATGGTAATCATGGGACCTTCGGCATTCAGCCTGTGCTATCCGTCCCGGTGAGTGTTGCTCTACACTCCGGTTCCTACGCCTTTTCTCTTCCTCTGTCGCTCGCTCCCTTTTTCTCTCCCTCCGGGAATCCCTGTTCAGAACAATCCTCAAATCTTCCTCCTTGAGAAAGCGATATGGTAAATCAAAATCCTGACGGTGCTCATGTCTACGAAAACCGAAGCATCATAGGAGCCGTCCTACGGAGAATGTGAGGCCAGCTACACAGCACGCCTTCGGTCTCTGGGTCTGGGTTATAGGGGTGGTTTCCGAACATAGGGGGCCCTCATGTAGTAATGTGCCGGTCGGTTTAGGAATATGGGCTCCTTTAATGCGTTTTTTCCGGGGCTAATTCCGACCGGTCGCCACTTTTTTGGGTTGGTCTAATTAATGCGTTTTTTTTTGGCTGGGGGGATTTTATGGGGGCGGGGCTGTGCTGTTTGCTGATGGTCAATCTTAAGGCAGCCACGACCTGAAGCCCCCACCCAAACCCTAAACCCTGGCCCTGAAGACCTAAACTAGGCATACTTAAGCCTAACACCTGAAGCCCCCACCCAAACCCTAAAACCCTGGCCCTGAGGTTTTGTAGGCTTTCTAAAGGGCTCGGCACGGCTTTCCTAAGGTTCAGGACAGGAATCTCAGGTTTTCTAGGCTTTCTAAGGGGATTAGGAGGGCTTTCCTAAGGTTACAGGATAGGAATCTCAAGGTTTTGTAGGCTTTCTAAGGGGCTAAGAAGGGCTTTCCTTGCTTGCTGAGGGGTTAAGAAGGCTTTTTTAAGGTTTCTAGGCTTACTAATTAAGGGGTTAGGAAGGGTTTTCCTAAGGTTCAGGACAGGAATCTCAAGGCTTTCTAGGCTTACTAAGGGGATTAGGAGGGCTTTCCTAAGGTTACAGGATAGGAATCTCAAGGTTTTGTAGGCTTTCTAAGGGGCTAAGAAGGGCTTTCCTTGCTTGCTGAGGGGTTAAGAAGGCTTTCCTAAGGTTTCTAGGCTTACTAATTAAGGGGTTAGGAAGGGTTTTCCTAAGGTTCAGGACAGGAATCTCAAGGCTTTCTAGGCTTACTAAGGGGATTAGGAGGGCTTTCCTAAGGTTACAGGATAGGAATCTCAAGGTTTTGTAGGCTTTCTAAGGGGCTAAGAAGGGCTTTCCTTGCTTGCTAAGGGGTTAAGAAGGCTTTCCTAAGGTTTCTAGGCTTACTAATTAAGAGGTTAGGAAGGGTTTTCCTAAGGTTCAGGACAGGAATCTCAAGGCTTTCTAGGCTTACTAAGGGGATTAGGAGGGCTTTCCTAAGGTTACAGGATAGGAATTTCAAGGATATCGAGGCTTTCTAAGGGGTTCGGCAGGGCTTTCCTAAGGTTCAGGACAGGAATCTCAAGGTTTTCTAGGCTTTCTAAGGGGTTTGAGGCTTACTAAGGGGTGAGGGGAGGCTCGGGTTCTAGGTGGGGTTTACCTAAGGTTTGGGTCTTGGCGCTGAGAACTCCAACCTTTTTCTGAGGCACGGCAGGCTCAGGTCGAAGGTCGAACCTGAGCAGAATGGTGCTCTTAGTCTTTCTGTGCAGGTCTCAGGACATTCTGAGGATTCCCTGCGAAAGTGAATTAAAACCTCAGCTTGATGGACCCTGAGGTAGGGTGATCTAGGTTCATCAGTGGCTCTTTGACTACTTAGGGGCATTTAGTGACTTAGTTAACCACCTAATTAGGAAAACACTAAACTAATAAAGGGCACTAAACCCGAGCTTTAGACCCCAACCTTAAAAGGAGGCCCTGAGGTGCAAGTGCTGAGGATCCAAAAGCAGGAAGCTCAGGCTTCCTTAGGGGCCGCCTTGGCACCCTTCCCGGGAGCAGCCTTCGGCTCAGGCTTAGCCTCCTCAGTCGGCTCAGCTGCCGGAGTCGCAGTTCCTGGCCGGGGGAGGAGCTCTTAGGCTTAGGCTAGAAACCTAAGGAAAACTGCAGACCCCAAGCCAGCCTGAAGCCTGGGCTGAGGGCTTCTCCTTCTTCTCAGGCTTGCCTGGCAGGTTTAGAGGTTTAAGTTTAGGGTTTCATTAGGGCTTAGGGCCGAAGCCAGCCTGAAGAGCTGCCTGCAGCCTCTGAGGGTGTTTCCTCAGGGATGACCTTCATCGTCTTGGGAGCATCCTTAGGCTCCTCCTCAGCTCCTGCAAAGAAACTGAAGCTGGTTTGCTTCCTCTAGGAACTTGACTCAGACGAGAGAAGGAGACTGAAGGCATATCATATAATTAATTATTTAATTATTGAGATTTGTAAGTAATTATAGTTAATTAATTAAGTAATTAATTAATTTAATTAATTACAATGTATAATCAACTCCTCAGGGTCGGTGGTCTAATTAATGCGTTTTTTTCTGGCCCGGCTGGAGTTCTCAGGATCTGCCTGAGATATCCCGATGCGTGGCCGGCTTCAGGTTTGTCTGATTCCTGAGGACGAAACCATACCAGGAGGGCAACTTAGGCATCCTTTCCAGGTTCCGGGCCACCCGGCTCTCAGGCTTCCCCTGAAATTTCCCGATCCGTGGCCGGCTTCAGGTTTGTCTGATTCCTGAGGACGAAACCATACCGGGAGGCCTCCTGAGGCATCCTTTCAAGGTCCTCAGACACTTTGTCTCAGAACACCACAGCAAAAGGTCTCCCTCCACGAATGTCTCTGAGGTATGATCCTCGGGGTCGCTGGTCTAATTAATGCGTTTTTTTCTGTCCCTAATCCTTATCCCCCCTCAGAATCGGCGGCGGCGGCTGTCGCATGCGTGAACTCAGGGGCTCTCTCAGACAGTCTCTTATTAATGAAGCAAGTCCTCTGAAGTGCAGTCCTTCATTCTTAGCATCCTCCTTAGCAAACATCTTCTGAGTGTCCGTGGTTCCTGAAGAAGCAGGACTGAGTGCAGAGAAGGGAGCTTCCTCAGAGCAGCAAGAGAGGCAGCTGTCCTGCAGCGACGTAAGGCACCATCTGAGCTGCCCAGGCTTCTCTGAGGACCCAGTACCTCAGGGCCTTGTTGGGATCGCAGCTGAGGCAGCCAGTCTGCCACCGACATCGGCTGCAGATGCAAGGAGAATTCCTGAGGGAGAGGATGAACTGGTAGGACTTCTTGCTGAGGTCCCTCCAGCTGAACATCTTCAGGGCCTTCTTGTAAGCCTCTTCAGCAGCCTTAGTGTTCTTGTTCTCAAGGTGTTTGTGTGCCTGAGCAAAGAGCTTGTTCTTCTCAGCAGCAGCTTTGGTTCGCTCCCTAAGGGCATCTGCCTTTGCCTTCTCTAAGGCAATCGCCTGCAAAAGGAGGTTTTTCTCAACTGCCAACCGCTTAGTGAGGTAGATGAGCCGATCCTTCCAGATCTGCTGAAGCTCTGAGGGATGCTGAAGCAGCCACTCGCCTCGCTTCAACCTGAGGCTCTGCTCAATGTAGCTGAGGCTATAGAAGCCACATTGGTTGAGGCCTTCTGCCTGAGTGCAAAAGTTGCTGCGGGACTGAGGCAGCTTGAAGTTCTCGTCTAAGATCTTGCCGATCCTGAGCTGCTGCTTTGCCTGATCCTCGCTTCGCTCGCTGAGGGAGTCGAAAACACTCCATCTCAAGTCTTTCGTCTGCTCAGGGGAAGCCTTCTCAGCCCTGAGGATTGTCCAATGGCCTGAGGCAAAGACCGGCACTAAGACAGTGCGGAAAGGTCTGGCCTGCTCTCTCAGGGCTTCTTCCCTGATTGCAGCGAGATCCTCAGGGAACTTCCAAAGCATGTAAGGAATCCCTGGGTCCACCACTGAGAAGGAATCTGAGTCCTCAGGGTAGGGCAGTCCGGACTTTTCAAAGGCCCACCTCAGGTACTGCCACCCAAGCCAGAGGCTTTGGTCCTCAAGAAGCCTTGTCTTAGGAGTCACTGAGACCAAGGTGCGCCCCTCCTCCTCATCATGAGTGGTTCTCTGAGGATAGGCACTGATGTTGATCAGCATCTCCTTGAGGTGAGACTTGTTCAGTGTATTCTGCTTAGGCCACACGAAGCAGACGTCTGGCCTGAGACTCGCGAGTGCAAAATGTTCCTGAGGGAGAATCTGACCGCCCTTGTCAAAGATGACCTGATACCGGCCCTCAGGGTAGGCCTTCGTGACGAGACCCACCTTAGCGAAGTTCGTGGCTCCTGCTGACTCATGACGGACAACCACTTCCTTGTTCAGGTAGAGGTCGCCCCCGTCCGCCTTAGGCTTCTTCTCAGTCTTCGCCTTCTTCTTAGGCTGGGCTGACAAAGGCTCAGCTTTCTTCGCCTCCTCAGCTTTCTCCGCCTCCTCAGCTTTCTTCGCCTTCTCAGCCAGAACCTTCTTGGCATCCTTCTCAGCCTCCGCCTTAGCCAGGCTCTTGATGGCTTCCTTCTTCTTCTTAGAGGGCTTCTCGCTCTTCTTCTTAGATGGCTTGGCGGAAGCTGAGAGCTTGGTCTTGGAATTCTTCTTCTTCTTCTTCTTCTCAGTCTTCTCCGCCTCAACCACCGCCGTCTCAGGGTCGGCCTCAGGCACCTCCTCAGGCTTCTCCTCAGGCTTCTCAGGCTTCTTTTTGGCTGTGGCTTTGGCGGCCTTTTTCAGCTTACCAGCCAGGGTGGGCTTCTTCTTAGGCTGAGCCTCCTTGTCCTTGTCCTTCTGCACGTGAGGGACAACTGACTTCAGGAGGTCCTCAAGGGAATGGTCCTTAAGCTTCTCAGACATCTTCTGGACGTGCTGCTTAGCAAGGGCCGCCTTCAGGTCTTTCTCCTCAGCCTTCTTCTGAGACTTGATCCTTTGCCTCTTCCTCCTCTGGCGGTACTGCTCATCCTGAGCAGTTGCCCTCCGGTGAGCCTCGAGGAGCTGAGGTGCGACTCTGAGGGAGAGGCTGTTGGCGGCCTCAAGGGCGAGGTCATCCTCAAACTCATCTTCGATCTCAGGGCCATCCTCTAAGTCGTTCTGGCCATCCTCAGCTTGGTTGTAGTAGTCCCACCTGATGAGATCCTTGAGCTCTGAGGCTGTGTCGCTGAGTTGCCAGTTTGCCTCTAAGGGCTCGCCATCCTGCTTAAGCCACCTGAAGCGATCCTGGAACCACTGGGAGGGCAGCCTCTTAGTGCCCATGCCGAGGTTCATTTCCTTAGCCCACTTCTGGCTAAGGAGCTGCTCAAGCTTGCCAGTCTGAGGATTCGGTCTGTAGGCCAGAATCCCATTCCTCACGGCTGCTCTGAGGACCCACTGATCATTCTCATTCTTAGTGCTCATCTGCGCCTGAGCAGCAACGACGGCTTTGATGATCTCTAAGGCACCCACCTTAAAGACTGAGTTGCCTTTGGTCTGCTTCTGAAACTCCGTCCTCAGGTCCTTCAGCTCCTTGCGGACAAAGGCCTTGAACCTAATTCGTGGTTGTGGTAATTAATTAGGATAAAAGATCTAAATAATTAGTCCTTAATGGGTTTAACTAAGTACCCATAAACATCTAAAAAGGTAATTACAGAACTATGACAAAGGAACTGCTTAGAGAAGTCTGAGTCCGTGATCTGAAGGAAGGAGGTGCACTTAGCGGCAACACAGCAGCCGATTTGCTGTGCTAAGGCCATCTTCTGAACGGAGGAGTCTGAGAAAACTGCACTGAAGCAGTCCCTCTGCCAGAGGGAGCAGGCATGCTCTTGGGCCTGAGCCTGAAGCACCCAGCCTAAGATCACTGAGTCCACGTTCGCGGCTGGCTGAGACATGATCTCAAGGTGCTCCACCAGCTCAGGGTGACTCTGCCTGACCTTGCGATAAGACTCAAGGATTCTCCCGGCTGAGGTACCTTGTCCTCTCAGGATGGTCTTAGAGCCAACTTTGAACTGCTCGGCCTCAATGAATTTGCCATCTGGGGAAATGTTGCTCAGGCGTGCCCACTGCCCGGGCACGACTAAGAGGCCCTTCCCCACCACACCCAGGACAGGCGTCTCAGGATCCCCGTAGACGTTTCTGAGGAGCTGTCGGGCCTCGTAGGTGATTCTGAACCTCTCCTCATTTGCATGGCCTTTCTCAGGCTGTTTGCCTGTCTTCCTTCTGGGTTGGCTCTCAGGCTTCTCCTGCTCAGGCTGCTGAGACGGGGCCAGACTCAAAGCTGAGGGCCCTTCTGACGCTGGAAAAGCCTATGCTTGCTGTGCTGGCTCGTCTCTGAGGCTGGGGCTTGCTGTTCCTGATGGGGCCGACTAAGAGGTCTGCTGCTTGCTGAGTCTTGGTGACCTCAGCGATCGCCTGTCTCACCTCAGAAAAATCCTGCTTGTGCTCCTTAGAATGGATCTCAGACCGGCTGAAGACCGCCCTACGACCAGGATCCTTAGCCCAGAGTGGCACCTGGTCGCTAAAGCCGATAACCAGGTTGGCCCTGTTGTCGCAAAAGGCCTTAGGATCGGCGACCAGTGCGGAGTCGCTGAGTCTGCTCACTGAGGAACACGAGGACAACCACAGTTTGTGGTCGAACTCCTGCCAGGTGAGGTTGCACCTGACTGAGGCCTCCGTCTCGGTCAGGGGTTGCACCAACTCAGTGCTGAGGTTCTTAGCACCAAGCCACCCAAGCAGTCGCCTGGTCCAGGTCCTCATGTACTCATGGTTCCCTGTGCTGAGGTTCTTAGCACCAAGCCACCCAAGCAGTCGCCTGGTCCAGGTCCTCATGTACTCATGGTTCCCTGTGACGTTGGTGGCCCTGAGCTTTCTGTTCTCAGCTTGCACCTTAAGCTTGGTCACCTGAAGCACACTGAGGCTCTTGTCTGTGGCAGCACGAGCCAGGAGCTCCTCAGCTGACTCCCTGAGGAACACGACACTCTGAGTGCCCAGGTGTTCCTGAGTCACAGTGACACCGCAGGCCCGCTGCAACTCAAGCCAGTCTTGGAGTCTCTGACGGACCTCAGGATAAGGTGGACGGCGGCCCGCACCTGGGGCCCTCTTCCTCCTCTTATTGCCTTTCTTAGTGGGGCCGACAGGCAGCTTGCTGAGTTTCTCAATCTCCTCTTCTCTTTTGAGGAGGTCACTGAGCTGCTCTTTCCTCAAGCCGGTCTCCGTTTTCATGACCTTCCAGAAGGTCTGAGGGTCGTACTCTGACCTTGCCTCCTTAAGGCGTTTGATGATGAGGAGCTTCTTACTGGCTGTGAGCTCCTTCTTAGGAGCTCTGGGCCTGCGAGGGAGGTTTCTCCTCATGGTCTGCACCATCTTCTGCTTGTCCCTGAAGACTTCTAAGGGGTTGGCCTGAGGCATCTTGGCTTTCAGCTCAGCTACTTCCTCAGCCAGCTGATCAATGATGAGCTGGTCCCTGAGCTGTCTCTTTCTGAAAGTAGGCCTTGCCTGAGGTGTGAGGCTCGTCTCAGAAACAGGCTTAGCTTCGGATTTCGCCTCAGGTGAGCCGAAGAACCGGGCCATGCCGAACTGCAGCTGTCTCTTAGGAGTAGGAGTCTCAGCTTCGGCAGGCTTCTCAGCTAGTTGTTCCTCAGGTACTTCCTCAGTCTCGTTCTCCGCAGGAGAGTCGTGCTCAGGAACTTCCTCTTCTTCCTCTTCCCCCTCACCACCCCCTCTGAGTCGGAGCTGGCTGACAACCCTCAGGGGTCCTGCAATTGCAAGCTAATTAGCATTCTCTGCTTTTGCTAAGACAATCATTCACTTAAAAAGTATATAATTATTAGGAACTATTTATTATTGATTCGGTCTGATTGCTGAGCACGAAACCATACCGGAAGGCTTGCCAGGCGATCGATTCAGTTTTGTCTGATTTAGGAGCACGAAACCATACCGGGAGGGCACCTTAGGCATCCTTTCCGGGTTCCGGGCCACCCGGCTCTTAGGACAGCCCTGAGATTTCCCGAAACGTGGCCGGTTCAGGTTTGTCTGATTCCTGAGGACGAAACCATACCGGGAGGGCAACTTAGGCATCCTTTCCGGGTTCCGGGCCACCCAGCTCTTAGGACAGCCCTGAGATTTCCCGAAACGTGGCCGGTTCAGGTTTGTCTGATTCCTGAGGACGAAACCATACCGGGAGGGCAACTTAGGCATCTTTCCGGGTTCCGGGCCACCCGCCTCTTAGGACAGCCCTCACATTCCCGATCCGTGGCCGGTTCAGAAGCGGTGGTCTAATTAATGCGTTTTTGCCGGGCGCCGGCTGCTGAGGAAACAGGAGCCTGGCCCCTTTCCTAAGAGGCCGGGCCAACCGGCTCTCACGATTCCCCGCAGATTTCCCGAAACGTCGCCGGTTCAGGTTTGTCTGATTCCTGAGGACGAAACCATACCGGGAGGGCACCTTAGGCATCCTTTCCGGGTTCCGGGCCACCCGGCTCTTAGGACAGCCCTGAGATTTCCCGAAACGTGGCCGGTTCGGGTTTGTCTGATTCCTGAGGACGAAACCATACCGGGGGGGCAACTTAGGCATCCTTTCCGGGTTCCGGGCCACCCGGCACTTAGGACAGCCCTGAGATTTCCCGAAACGTGGCCGGTTCAGGTTTGTCTGATTCCTGAGGACGAAACCATACCGGGAGGGCAACTTAGGCATCCTTTCCGGGTTCCGGGCCACCCGGCTCTTAGGACAGCCCTGAGATTTCCCGAAACGTGGCCGGTTCAGGTTTGTCTGATTCCTGAGGACGAAACTATACCGGTAGGGCAACTTAGGCATCCTTTCCAGGTTCCGGGCCACCCGGCTCTTAGGACAGCCCGATTTCCCGAAACGTGGCCGGTTCAGGTTTGTCTGATTCCTGAGGACGAAACTATACCGGGAGGGCAACTTAGGCATCCTTTCCGGGTTCCGGGCCACCCGGCTCTTAGGACAGCCCTGAGATTTCCCGAAACGTGGCCGGTTCAGGTTTGTCTGATTCCTGAGGACGAAACCATACCGGGAGGGCAACTTAGGCATCCTTTCCGGGTTCCGGGCCACCCGGCTCTTAGGACATCCCTGAGATTTCCCGAAACGTGGGCGGTTCAGGTTTGTCTGATTCCTGAGGACGAAACCATACCGGGAGGGCAACTTTCCGGGTTCCGGGCCACCCGGCTCTTGGGGACAGCGCTCAGATTCTCGATCCGTGGCCGCTTCAGAAGCGGTGGTCTAATTAATGCGTTTTCGCCGGGCCGGCTGCTGAGGAATCCTAAGAGGCCGGGCCAACCGGCTCTCACGATTCCCCGCAGATTTCCCGAAACGTGCCCGGTTCAGGTTTGTCTGATTCCTGAGGACGAAACCATACCGGGAGGGCAACTTAGGCATCCTTTCCGGGTTCCGGGCCACCCGGCTCTTAGGACAGCCCTGAGGCCCTGAGATTTCCCGAAACGTGGCCGAATCAGGTTTGTCTGATTCTTGAGGACGAAACCATACCGGGAGGGCAACTTAGGCATCCTTTCCGGGTTCCGGGCCACCCGGCTCTTAGGACAGCCCTCAGATTCTCGATCCGTGGCCGGTTCAGATTTGTTTGATTCCTGAGCACGAAACCATACCGACAGGCTTGGAAGGCGATCGATTGAAGTTTAGGTAAGACAAGAACTGGTGGATTCATTCATTCATTCATTCATTCGTTCATTCATTCATTCTCAAGTAATTAATTGCTTAGTTGGTTAATTAACTAATAGTTGGACTAATTAATTATAACTCATTACTTCACTGTTCTTCTGAGACACCGAAGTTCTGAGACTGTCTAGAGCAGCAACTGATGCCGTCCTTGTCGTCTTCTCTCACGAAGACAATTGCTAAGCAAGTGCTCATCATCCGCTTCCGCACAAAGTGACTCAGGTCCTCTAAGGCTCTACTTAAAGGTAACCGCCAAGAACCCTAAAACCTAAACCCCAGGTCCTGTCTTAGGGGTTGCCGTCTCAGCCGTGGTCTTCATGACCTCCTTGAGGTACGAAACCTCAGATGACATTCAGTGATTATGGCTTACGGTTTAGGGTTTAAGGTTTTGGGTTTAATTAGGGTTTAAGGTAATTACTTGATGATAAGAAGAGGCTATGTAATCAATTAATTAAAGGGTTCAAGGAAGGCTTAGGCTACGGTTTGACTTTGCTCAGGCCCTGGATCAATTGATTACTTCAGGTTTTGGGTTTGGGGACTGAGAACAGCAAGCTGAAACCGAGGTTTATGGGTAATTAATTAAAATCAGGAATCCCAAACCTTCAACCCCCCCACCTTAACTACCCTTCCAGAAATCTCCAAAGAACCCTTAGCAGCAACAGTTTGCAAAGGAAGCACAAACCCTAAGCCCCAGTTCTAGGTGGCTTTACCTGAGGTTTGGGCTTTGGGACTGAGGGCAGCTAGCTTGCTATCTGAGGAGTTTTAGGAGGCTCGAGCGGGGATTTTGGGACTGAGAAGAAGGCTCAGGCTCCGGTTTCAGGCTTTCCTAGTAATTAATCAATCAGTAATCAAGTAATTAAGGTTTTGGGTTTTGGGATCGAGAATAATTAATTAATTAGTGGCGTGAAACTTAAGGTTAGGGTTTTAATCGATTAGGATTGAGAACAACAACCTTAACAATTAAGCTTAATCAATTACTGAGTTAATTACTTAATTAATTACTTAACTAGCTCAAGCCAAGAAGCTTCTGAGTGGATGTTCCACTCAGGGAGTGGGAGCGGCTTCTCAGGAAGGGCCATTATCATGGTCTGCTGAGCTTTACTCAGCTTAAGCTCTCCCAACTTCTGGGGGAGGTAGCTCAGGCGGGAGCTCCTAAGGGACCACATCATAGATGCACATGAGACCTGAGGCAATCCCCTCAGGAGCTCATCATTCTCGGCCTCCTTAGATGTGGCACATGAATTAATTAATTAATTAATTACTCAGGCAGAAAAGAACTTGCCGACTTCACGGATGTGCCTTAAGTATTTACAGCCAAGACTCAGGGTGGAACATGCATTTGTGCACCTCAGGCCTGCTAATGTTTGTGAGGATACGAGTGTGCTCCTCAAGCTGCTCCTCAGTGGCCACCTTACCATGGGTCACCTTAGCTGGAACAGCAGAAGGAGC